CTTCAAAAGTGCTCAAACCCTTAATATGTTCAACCCATCTAGTTCGACAAACATCCGGCAGTCTAGTTTTTTTTGAGTCGGTTTCAGAACTATTGTGAACAGTCTCCGCAAAAGGCATATTACGAGTTTGAGAAATATTTATAAAATTAGTCACTTCTTTCACATGCTTGAGCATTTTCTTGACCTCAATAACTGACAAACTATCGCAAATTGACAAATTTAGCCTATGGCTATAGCAGTGAGTGTAAAGAGCTTTGGGATTAAGTCTTAATATATGAGCAGCCAATAGAATTCCTTACATTAACAACACTAGTCTTCAAAGAAGAGACCAATTCAATACCTTCCATTACGTCAATACTCTTGCCTTGCAAAAGCTGTGTTGCAGGAAGAGTTATGTCAAAAATATTTCTGGTAATAACCATAATTGCAACAAACTCAAAATCAGAAATAAGCGAAAGCAAATCGGATGCATCAGTACGAAGAGAAGGATTGTATTTTCCATTTGTCATATCATCAAGCAAGTTGAAAACAGGAATGAACAGATCTTCAAAAGTGCTCAAACCCTTAATATGTTCAACCCATCTAGTTCGACAAACATCCGGCAGTCTAGTTTTTTTTGAGTCGGTTTCAGAACTATTGTGAACAGTCTCCGCAAAAGGCATATTACGAGTTTGAGAAATATTTATAAAATTAGTCACTTCTTTCACATGCTTGAGCATTTTCTTGACCTCAATAACTGACAAACTATCGCAAATTGACAAATTTAGCCTATGGCTATAGCAGTGAGTGTAAAGAGCTTTGGGATTAAGTCTTAATATATGAGCAGCCAATAGAATTCCTTACATTAACAACACTAGTCTTCAAAGAAGAGACCAATTCAATACCTTCCATTACGTCAATACTCTTGCCTTGCAAAAGCTGTGTTGCAGGAAGAGTTATGTCAAAAATATTTCTGGTAATAACCATAATTGCAACAAACTCAAAATCAGAAATAAGCGAAAGCAAATCGGATGCATCAGTACGAAGAGAAGGATTGTATTTTCCATTTGTCATATCATCAAGCAAGTTGAAAACAGGAATGAACAGATCTTCAAAAGTGCTCAAACCCTTAATATGTTCAACCCATCTAGTTCGACAAACATCCGGCAGTCTAGTTTTTTTTGAGTCGGTTTCAGAACTATTGTGAACAGTCTCCGCAAAAGGCATATTACGAGTTTGAGAAATATTTATAAAATTAGTCACTTCTTTCACATGCTTGAGCATTTTCTTGACCTCAATAACTGACAAACTATCGCAAATTGACAAATTTAGCCTATGGCTATAGCAGTGAGTGTAAAGAGCTTTGGGATTAAGTCTTAATATATGAGCAGCCAAACCTTTTACACAACCAGCAACAGAACCAGCACCATCATACCCCTGTCCTCGACAATTCTCAATCGGCAAATCAAGGTCATTGAGAGCATCCAATAAAAGTTTGGCAAGATTCTCTCCACTTAATCCCCACTTACACTGAAGGAAAGCAATAAACTCCTCTCTAATATCCATATTTTTATCAACAAAACGCAAAACAAGGGCCATTTGCTCTTTGTGTGATGAATCTGCAGCCTCATCAGCAATAATAGTGAAGAACTTACTTTCCTTAATATCGCTTACAATCTGTTCGGAGATAACCTGACCAAAGCACTTGATCATCTTATCTTGACTGGTCTTAGAAATGTAGCTTTTATTTTTGCCACATGTTTTCAAGTGATTCTCCAAAACTTTATCACCTGATCGCACTTTTAAGTTAATAGTTTCAATAAAATTGCCAACACCCCCAGTAGAATACTGCCCGACCTCTGGATGATATTGAGAATCATCACGATGGCCGCGTAGTGGCAGACCTAGACGACCACAATAGAGGACAGCATCAGCAATCGAAGCCAGCTTATTCCTGTTCTCCTCAATTTCTTTCTTAACATTTTTATCTAATATGACCTCTATTGGTTGTGCAGCCCCCGACATTTGAGCAAGTAATGCAGTTAACATTGGAAATGTTGAAGCATGCAGTCCCATTTCTCCTCCTGTACTATGGCCAGCATGTTTTTTAAAAGTAAATGCAGCATCATTCCAACGGCAAAGGGGTTCTGAAAACAATCTAGTTATCTTTTTAGCTTTCCCAGAAAAAATATCTCCAAACAGCACACAAGACAAACAAAATGCACCATCCATAGATGGTGAATAGCAAAGCCATGAGTACGATTCCAACCAATTATACCTAAAGCTTCTACCATTAGTCTTAGGAAAGGAAAATTTTTTGTCAGGCTTAAAGACATTTCTAACTAACTCACAAATCTCAGAAGAATCCATACCCTTAACTCTCTCCCGGTATGATGCAACATCAAAGTTATGAACAAAATTAGACTTTAAATTACCAGAACAATGACTACTGGAATGTGGAACAGAGTTTGATAAGGATCTGCTTGGTTTGGGACTGGAAGAAATAACAGAACCTACTGATGTGGTAGGTTTAATAGGCTGTTTCAGCTTACGGGATGATGTGGCAGAAGAAAAAGACTCAATAGGTTTCTTGTTAGCTAATGGATTTGCTGAAGTGGTAGGTATACTAATCTGTTTCTGCTTATGGGCAGCTAGTGATGCAGCAGAAGAAAAAGCCTCATTAGGTTTCTTCTGAGAAGATGGGTTGGCAAAGGGTTTTTCTGCTACATTAAAAAAGTTAGAAATGTTACCAGAAGGAATTTTCAAAGCTTTTTTAGAGGAATAAGAAGATACCTTTTGTTTCTTGGCTGCTGTTGATGCCTGTGAACTAGCAACAAATTTTCGTTTTTGCAGCCGTGCATGAAAAAGAAGAGGGGCAAAGTGATTAGACTGAAATGTTTCTCCAGGTCTAATGTCACCTTCATGACAGAATAGAATATGAAGATCTTTTACACCCTTTTCAGCACGCAAGCGAGGCTGAATAATACGATTAAATAAAAGTTTAGATCTAAGTTCGCCACAATCAGGGTAATATGTGAAGATATTTCTATGTAAAACAGAAGAAAGACCCAAAATACAAAGAAATGATGACCATTTACCAGCATTACAATTTGAAATGGCCTCCTGCTTCACTAAATCATGCTTGATATAACCTGTATCTATGGTCTCCATAGAGACAGACAAAGGCAAAAGATTGTTAAGACTTTTGCCAAAACATTGAGGGTGCTCATCGATGGCAGACAAAAAGCAGGGATGATCACAGTAAAACTGAGCATTCATGAAAAGCTCAAGTGATGTCAAAATTCTCAAAGTGTGCACTAAAGTATTGTCACCTACCAATAACAAAGAAACAGAGCTATAAAGGCAATTCTCTGAAGCTTCAGATCTAAGAAAACAGACAAAATATTAAATTAAATTCTAGATTTAAATTGCTTAATTTCAACCTAAATTAACACAATAACATGCAATATATTGAATATAACATTAACTATTTATGATAACATTATAACAACTCATACTATAATACATAAGTTATATTTTATACACTTTGATCACAACTCTCAGTTTATAACTAAATTATAAGAGATCTTTCTCCTACAATGCCAATTAGCAAAATGGCTAGTTTAATTTAGTAATTGATGCCATATAACTGTTTATAAGTCTAACTAACTCATGATGGTACCACACAAATAGCGTTGTTGAGTCATTGAAACATTGACTAGTAATCACTACAGTGTCATATTACTCAAATAGACATATACTAAAATTAAAAATATCATTCATTGATAAAAGATAAAACCTGATGTTTATATCCTATGTATACTACATTTATATCAGTTATCCTCGATAGTAATAGCCTTCTGAGTTATGACGGTCCTTCAACCGCAAAAATATGTAAATTTGTTGTGTAAATTATAGCTATAAAGTCTTAATCGAAATAGTCAGAGATACTCGTATTTACATATGCATGGCGCGCTTTTGTTCGCTTATAAATATTTTTATACTGCCTAAAACGAAATAAAATCGACATATCAGATTAAATTTACCTTATTGCAGTACATGACTTGTCCTTTCGATCTCGCACACTCTTCGGAATATAGATTTCGGCGCCAATATTTCGACTCAAACTGTAGTTCGTGCTGCTCATGGCGTCTAACAACTGCTCAAGCGAACTCTTGGATATAGCGTCGATATTCTTCCATAAATTAGCCCAACAATCTTGTAAGACGGCTAAATCGTTCACCGCAAATGCGGATTTAACCGTTTCGTAAATACTACAAGGAGTAGCAGACATTTCTGAAATCTTTCGAGTGTAGTTTCGACAATTCGACAAAGCTCCAACGTGACACTTCGAATGAGCGAGCGTTCAGAAAGACCTTACTGTATATAGCACGCGTCAAATATATTATTTCATAAAATGATAATGATGACTAATGGGCGCCCCTGACTTTGATAAATCGGTCAGAACTCCCCACAGATCAGTCAAAATCGGGAAAAATTGCTTGTTTCCATGGAAATAAGCGTTTAGACCAATCAGAACACTGGATTTTGACTTTTTGACTGACCAACTTTGCGTATGTCAGCTGCTCATTGACTTGATTAAGCTCGTCGGCTCAGAAACTGCATGAAATTGACCCACTGGAGTGACTGGACTACACTCACTGAGCTGTTTATAAAGCTGGACTACTCTCACTTCCATTGGAATATTAATTACCAGCGCTGCATGATAATAGAGACTGGACTGCTATAAGGTGCCACTGCATGATAAAAGATAACTGGACTATTGTTCGAAACTTAAGACTTTGAGGTTTGCAATTTTTACGTTAGTCGCGTGACCGGTTTGACGACCCCTAGATCCGCCCCTGTATTCCAGTATCTAATAATTTACATCTCAATTTCTCTCTGTCTGCTCTGCATTAATTCTCTTTTCTATAATTGTAACAACAATTATGATATTATGCTGATTGTAATTATATTAGCATCTGTATATTCATGAATATGTATAAAGGGAGTCCAAATTCCATAAGCTTTTAGTGTTTCTCTTTGGGCTTCCTTGCCAGTATACGCTATTGCTTTGTTTTTATTCTATATATGTAAAACTGGTGAAGTAAATTGATTTGAAAAAAAAAATTCCGGGCTGGCTCCCCAATAATTTGCTAATCATCATTCTTTTTTTTATCAGAGACCTTTATCATTTAATCCATGACAAACTGCAAAGAATGAAGATATTACCCATACTTTCTTGCAACTTATCCAATATATAGTTAATTAGATACACCTTCGCCTATTTAGTACTATTAATTTGTAAATTTTGACATACTAAAACACTGTTTTGTGACCATCAGAATTCTGTCAAGTCTTCCCCAAAGTCCAGGAAATGGCATTTCGGACTCTAAATTAAAAAATTTCCTTGGGCCTTCGGCCCTCGCTTTCACCCAGAATCGAAAAGAGCTTCCTACGGCCCTGATAATATAACATATAGATTTAAATATTTACCCTAAACATCATCAGATCCATCTTAGAAAATAAATTTCCTATGTAGAACGCTTGCAAAAATACAGTAAACATATATACTGCACAATCATGTTTGTGTGATATTTTATCATAGAGTAACTGTAAGCCTGTTTTAAAGTGTTTTTTTTCTGCTATTCCAAGTATTTGTCTGTGCTGCTTTTCAGATGTCTCTCACAAACATTTCACATGTAAAATCCAGCCTGCTAAATGACTTAGATTATTTGTCCTACGTGAATCATTTGTCTTTTTCCAACACCAGAAGCCTCTTTCCTTCTTCCAATGCCTTTGTCTTCCTTTTGACATATTCCATGCCAAGCATCCCCAAACTAGACTCTAGTTTGCTAACACAGTTTTTCTTTTCAAGATTCAATTTATTTCACACGTTTTACGAAAGATATAGTTACACATTAATTACATCACAAAAATTATTATAATGGAAGGAAAAAAGAGAGTTAAATATGGTATTAGATTGTGTACAGTGGCCAAAGCAAGCTGAGAAGCTTTTGAGTTGGCCACCGTTTACACATTTGTTGTTTTGCGACTGTTTACATATTTGTGAAAACTTGTTGTTTTGTGACTGTTTACATAATTGTGAAAACATGATGTGTTTGGTGTGGCTGGATCAGGGTACATTTGGCTTGGGATACGTTTTCTTTTATAATTGGATTTAAATATTCTAACTAAAGTCAACTGCTTAATATGTAGGTCTTTGACGAGCCAGTCAGCTCCAGGTTCGATTTCAACATGGAGCTAGAACGACTAGTTTCTAAATGAACTACTTCGGCCACTTAGCCACTAATGGAAATCCAATTTTTTTTTGAAAGACCATTTTTTCATGCCATATTCTTTAGTATGTGAGGGAAAATGAACACATTATTCTGTTCCATTCGTCCATGGTAACTTGTGAAAGATCACTGTTTTTTTTCTGACAAAGGGGCTGGTCAGCGGTGGGATAGATTGCAAAGCTCGTTTAAAACTTTATTTTTTACCTTTATAATGAAAAACTTAAAATTTTGACTGATGACCATTCTAGAGAATGTATTCAAAAGTAATTTCACGTGGTTAACTTATGTCCATATTGCGAAACCGCAATGAATAACTTGCGCAAAGTTGAACTGTCTAATTTCACGCACCGCCCGGTTGTGTCAATTTACAACAATTTTGGTATGTGTAAATTTACGCTCTAGAGGAGTAAGATATTGATATGTCAATGACATAATATCATTTGTTGAGCTTTGCTGAAGAACTAACAATATAAATTATTTAATTTCCGAAAGACACAACGCAAACAAATTCTCTAAAGATGGTGTTATTATGCGGCTCAAGTCGCTGAAAGGCCATAACATGTCAAATACGTCTAGCATCATCTAAATTGATTCACAAATTTCTTGCTAATTTCGCCCTGCAACGATTTTTTAAAAGATGACCCTTCTAGACTAATATTAATACCATCATATTTTACAGCATTTGAAACTTTAGGATATATATACACCATGAGCAACTCATGAGAACACTAGCATCATTACCGACATAAGAAATTAACTTTCAAGAGATGTGAAATATTAAACGTAAACAATAATGCAAGTCCTCTGGCACGTGCCAGACATTTGATAATCTCAGGGGGAAACTGTATTAACTATAATGGTGACATGCAAACGCATGCGATCTAATGAGGCCAGGGAAGGAGTTTAATAGTGCACAGAAATAGAAACAACGCAATTTTCCTTGGCAATTGCATTGTATTTTTTCAATACATAAGCAAAAAATGTCGCCTTTTCACAAAGATAAAATAGTTTTATAAGCATGGGTAGGTTGTGCCGATTATGTCAATAAGGAAGGCTTAAAACACACGCCTCCTTGAGAATGTGGGCGTGTTATGTTACATAACTAATGCATATTGGTTTACATGTGCTGTATCTTTTTAATACAAGTTAATTAATATTGCATAAACTACATACACAAACTGTATACATTTTGTGCAGTATTGTATATTTGATTCAATTTATTAATAAAATGATACTAGTTAGCACAATTTTAAATTCATTATTATGAAGGCATATAAATTGCTTTAGAAAGCATATATAATGCTTTTTATATACTTTTCACATTTTAAAGCATTTTTTTATCTAATTTTAGCAGATGTTATAAACATGCCAACATAAATATGTCATTATAGAGCCTTGTCTTGTGGCCGTACCTAATGTCACATGGTATAGCCAAGTGACGTACTTTCCGGGTGTATTGTGACAAGAAACAATTTATGCAACTGCATGACATCTCCGTTTTAGGTAGCTGAAAAAAAAACCCCAGGGAATAAAGAAGGTGCATGGAATGTTTTTCAGGTTTGAATATCTTTTCAAATACAGCTGTCTTTTTTATTAAGATACTGGTGGCATAACTTTGTGTCAAGTAGCCTGCGTAGGAGATGGTCAGCTGGCTGCCGGCGAGGCAAGGACAGGAAAAAGCTGCCATGGCTATGTGTTAAGAGACCATGGCTTATACTGAAAAGGACCCTGTTGATCAACCTGTCAGATCGACAGGAGGTTGGGCGGGGGGATGCTTCGCTACCTACAACTTTATAAATCTCCGGATCTTACATGGCACATCTCTTAGCCTTAAGCCTGTTTTCCACTTCAACTGTATTGTACTGACGTTAA